CGAAGAAAAAAAATGGACAAAGAGTATCGGCAGGCGCAGAGTACCTAGCCGCTGCTGGCACTGATACTACAAGATAAAGTAGGCAAGTGGCAAACTTGGACACTTCGTTTGATCTCGTTGGGGGCCAGTTCTCTGTGGCCACAGCCATTGCCCGACCTGTTTTCTGACTGCGTGTCGCTTAACAGGCAGCTTTTGATGTAGGGTTCCGTTCAATGTTTGCCTTTTGTGCTTTTCTCTTCCAAATATTACGCTTCTTCCGCCGAAAGTGCATGAAACGCTAAAGAGAGAACTTGCATGGCTATGGTACGCTTACGGCTTTTTGCTGCGAATGGGGTTAGCCACGGGACCAGATGCTCTGCTACATGTCTGAAAGCTGGTAAGCGACAAGAGGTCAAATCGGATTGACAGATAAACTAAAGGATAACCTAGTTCAAGCGGTCCGTTGGCATACTATGCGTACAATAGGCGTGCACATGCCGTCTTGACCCTACTTTCAGGCTTCGTTTGCCAACGCCTTGCGTTTTGTATTACCTTTCGTAACGCGTTAGACGCGTAAGGCGATTTCGTGTATTACTATTGAGATGCTTGACTATTGCTGAACTCTGACGGTCCTATCTAACATTCTTACCTATGTAGCTAGTTTTTTACACTTGTGCCGTATTGTTCCGAGCAGTCATTCGTGTGTCACTACGAATCAAGATATTATTGCTCTCTGGCCCTTCGTTCTGTTGTTTCTTTGTTTTTACTGAATATAGGTTTAAATTCCAAATCTTGGAATCTTGGTTATAACAAAGGTCGGAGCTATAGATGTTTTGAAATGAGAATTATTTATAATGTACTTTATTATATTGTGTCACTTTTACGGAATGCGTGAGCTTAATAAAAGCATACGTCGTTATCATTCCCGTACAGCTGTGCCGTTCGGCGTAAAAAGTAGTAAGCATGGTAAAAAGCTAGTTTTTATTCACAGATACTATTAGTAAATTTTAAGCGATCACTATAGAAACCCGCTACAATTGATGGTATCGAGATGACCTCGTCTGCCCTACTGCGCAGTTCGTGACGCTAACCATGTTAATGCGTCATACATACATCTAGTCGAATGAAGACATGGCACACGTTTGTTTCAATGAGTTATAATACTTCCACGCGTCTTGCAACGGCATGACTTCGGCGCCCTTTCTTGTGGATGCACTGATATTTTGGGCTGACCGGCGTTCCCTTCTCAACGCGGCCGGATGTGTATTGCTTGTGAAAAGATCAAATAGTACACTTCAGAAATTAACTTATAATGAAAACATTTATTGAAAATAGTTTGTCAAGGTAACGGTTAGTTCGACTCTGTTTCAATATGGACTTGATCACAACATTTCCAACCAGTAAAACACAGGTAATACGTTTTAACTACTAATAATATTATTTATTTGCTGTTCACTGTTGACAAAAATAGCTCACATAAACGACTGCGTATATAGGTGTCACTCTGTTAGCATATCCATACTTGTAGTTTTTCTTGGAACAGTCGCTTCCGTTTCCATAGTCGGTTTTATTATCTTTTCGTCGCGGTCTGCTTCGTGTCACTTTCGAGAAAAACGTCTCTTGCAAAAGTACCGCATGGCGGCGCCTGTTGCGTTCTAAAGCACGCCAACGCTTACAGCATTATGTTACATTTACATATGTGCTCCCCCTGCTGTTGCCCCCCCCCTGAACGACCGCAACGACACTGGGTCCAGTCTGCCTGCGTTCGCGGTTTTTGGTAATTAAGGCCTGGTGACCAGTCGTAGCAAGTATTAGCAGTTATTCCACTTCCTTGATTCTATCTACTTGCCACTCGTTTTCCTTGTTCCTCTTCGTTTGTCTTTCTCGTGTTGAACATTATTCGTTTCTCCTGCGTTTCCCGTCGTTTTTCTCGTGTTCTTGCTACTGTCCCACGTTATCTTCTTTCGTTTGTTCACAACGAGTCGAAGTTTGCACCGTACTACAATTTGAGCGTGGTCTTGTAGAAAACAGCCAACATTCGGCGCTCAGCCACGCTCGCTACTGGCGCCGCTGGTGGCGATTCCTACTGATTTTTCCTGTCGTTATTCGATTCGAGTGGGCGGCCGTAGAGTCAGCCCATAAAGTGGGCGCTATGGACGAAAGAAGCAATGGGCGCATGAAGAGATGGAAGAGAAATTTAGGTATCTATCCCCAACTCGTCGAGCCTTCTCACGAACTCGTTTGCACGCATAGTGAGGAGGAACATATCGTTAAGGAAGAAATCCGACTTCAGCAAGGCGTTCGGCAAATGACGATGAAGGTGATTCTGTTAAGTGAGGGAGTCGTGTTTGTAGGCTAAGGGCGCACATCCGGATGAACGAGTCGAGTAGGATACATGGTCAAACTTGGGCACAAGATTGCAGAAAGAGAACAGGGTCGCCCGCCGGATTTCTTCGTTCGCTAATGCTCAATAGACTGGATAGAAAATGTGAGGGGTTATCCTGAAGCCGGGTACACAATAACTGTGGGTTTCTCTGAGCAGCAGGCCTTGATAGGTCTGTTCAATATTGTTCGCTGTCAAATACTAAATGCGGTGCGCTCGTATCGCAGCACACGCAGAAAATGACAAATCGCGTCGGGCCGCAGCACGTGGCAGCCATATTAAAAGCTGTCTAACGAACTGCAACGAAAGCGCTGCAAAACGTGTCCAACGTGCGTGGCCTAGGCACGTGCACGGCCGAACGTACACTGCAATGTACAAAGGAACCGGCGGCAGCTATTGAATACCACCGGCTAAAATACAATCTCATATGAGTTCGTAGCTCACGTTGGATGGTCTTTTAGCATCTGGAGAGGCTTACCTTAGATGGCATTCTAACCTGTAGCAGGCTGGACTTCGTATCCTTTACCGAGGCAACAACAAGCGTCATTGGTTGAGCCAGCCAATTTGCAGCTACTTTCGTTTATCAACTAACGGAAATTGTTAAACTATCCAGAGTTGTCATCCTACATACAGTAGAGAGTTCATAACAAGTAAGACGGCAAAGGATCCCTACGCAGAACCCAACGAACGTGCATTCACGACAGTAAATCGAAATACTTCGTGAAATTGCTTAGTCAATTAGAGGAGCGGCCTCTTAAAAAGACTCCAGTTGACTGATGTGGATTCTCCTTAACATAAGGAGTCCAAAATTGGGACGGAGCCAGAAAGGAGAATAGGCCAACGCACGAGACATTAGGAAAAATCGAAAATACTTCTTAGAATGCATTACGTATATTTGAAAGTCAAGAAGTGTTTTAAAACAAAGCACTGCCAATACTACAACAAAAGTGAACCTAAATCTCGAATGTTTTCTATCATTAACATGAGAATGCTCCCTTTGTCAGGCAGTAACGTATAAAACGACGAAGATAAACGTATTATTGCAGACTGCACATTTTCCAACGTTTTCTATTAAATAATCAGAAATTTAACGATTCTGTTCGTGGACGTCAATACAAATACAAAAAGTCGCACACGACGCAAATGAGGCACGAACAGCACAGAAAAGCTGAAAGAATATTCCCACAGAAGATAAATATTGGTGGCACATCATTAGTAGTACATGACTACCCCTACAATGGTCGTTCAGCTTGCTACAATATATTAAACAGTGTCTCCATTAATATAGATAGAGGTAACGTAACGTATCAAAGTGGACCCTAAATATGGACAGTTACTGTCCATGCTAGCCATGTATGTCCACGACAAACCTATAAAGCTGCTTTTTTAGACGGTACGGCATGTAGTGCCGTCAACAAGAATTTCAGTAGAATGTGCTCAATAGCAGAATTTTTGCTATTTTCCATATGGCGCTCGAGATCTGTTTTGTATTTTTGACATACGCTTGCGTATTTCGTAAATGAAGTAAGCCACAAATCAACATTTTGTACGGTGTCAACGCTTATACGAAAAGATGTTATTTAAACAGAAGGCGAGAACGACTCAAAGACGCCGATAATAGCTGCTTACGGTTTTTTGCGTGATAAATTCCAACGAGAAACCCAATTCATAGGGTTTTTGTTCCCGGAGCTGAACAAGAAAGCTTAACTGCACGAAGCAGAGATTATGCTAGCTCGATCGTGAGCGGAAAGTCTCAGCTCGGTCATAGATTGTAATGGCTTTCGTTTTTTTTTTTTTTGTATTGACTCGAAATGAATATGGAAGTAGTTATACCAAAGATTGATGCCGACAAGGATCGTTTAGAGCTATGCTGTACCCAAATTGGAAGTTTAAGCTGGAAAACAAATATTAACCGGCCCTTCACCATTCTGGTATTATGGTACAATTTCGCCTGCAGAATTCACATTGATAAAGGAATCTTATACAATGCGGCCTGAAAATACACATCACTTTAGTATTTATATTAACTATGCAAGCTAATAAACAATATCTTTCTATTCTTGATCCATGCGTGTCAGAAGATTGCGAGACAACACGAACATCTTGTTGTTGATAGGAGTAAATAGTTCGCACCCATGTGCTTGTCTGACTCTCGAACGAACGCCACAGCGCACATTAGCTTTTATTTATCGGTCCAACCTTTATATCAGTCGAGCAAAGCTTATAGGCTAAATGTTAGTGAATGAAGTATATTTAGAAGGCAATAGTTGTGACGATCTATTTGCGGCTTTGAATGAAGTCTCTATTCTTAATAAAGGCTTTAGGACAAAAAAAAAAGCGTAATCAACAAAACTATCTACAAACAAATTGCAACGGCCTATGTTACCTCAAATTTACAGCTTCTAACGCTGATTGATACTGTGTAACGCTGATGAACTTTATTTGTTAATAAAGCGCTTTGCTCGATCTCAATCTACTTACCTAAGCCGATATAATTATAGTTGTGATGTAATTGGCAAATGCGGTTTTGCTTAGATTGTCCAACGTTTCTAGATTTGTTTCTTCTATTTCTGACAATAAACTAGACTTTTTAATATCTAATCTGGATGCTGGTGTTGTAATTTTTCTTTCATTCCAGCATTCAATAAAGCTCAAAGCCGGTGGCTTTCCTATCAAACCACGGCGCTCTTTGGCTACCTGGCTCTGTTGTAGTTTTGTGAATCCCCGCTGTTTGCTGCCCACGGAGGCCAAACAATGACACCAGCCCCTGAAAAGTATGCCAGCGTGTCCCGAGTACTTCGAACGTACCACCAAGGTAAGTTCCGTCTACAAGTGAGATTCAAGCTGTACCTCGCATGAGTGAAATCGCTCTTAAGACAAAAAAAAAACGTGTAAACGTAAAGTGTTCGTGTAACAAAACGGGAATGGTAGTCAGTAGCAGAATCCAACTCTAAGATATTCTCACAGAGTGGTTAACAGAGGACACGACCGACACTGGAAGGCTATAGGGCGTAAGACCTGAATGCTCGTATTGAATTCGTAGTAACGCAGCTGTTTGAATAACAAGGGTCTATAGCACATTATAGCAAATTAAGGCTACATACGAACCTATTAAGATTTTAGTGCTTGTTACTAAAAGTGTCAGACCTCTCCAAAGATAACAAAAGCAGTTAATGAAGACGAAGACACACAGACATCAACAACAGATTTGGATGCTCCTAGGGTTTTCATATGCCTGCAATACTAAACCTAGGCGACACTAAGGTAGAACAACGTTCATATATGAACATGACCTTATTAACGTCGAAATCTAAGATTCAATATTGCAATCCTCAACTTCAATCTCAAGTTTTTCCCCTAGTAATCGTACGAGGTTCTCCAACTAAACTGATCTCTGAAAGTGATATGGATATATCCTACAATCCAGGTTACCGAGGGTCAGCCGTTGTAGGTGTCAGTAAGACGGCAAGAAGACAGTCTTGTGAAAAGCATCAGTTGTGTTCAAAAATATACATATATTTAAAACTTGCCAAGTTTTACACTATCCAATGAGTGTAGTAACGATAAATAAATGGAAAATTATTATATAAACGTTTTTGCGATGCGGTTCATCTAACCTGTTTCATGTTTTTCGTATGAACGCTTCAACTAGAATTCACGGTACATGGATAACGAGTTTTGTGACGTTCCAAAAATTGCAAAGAATTTTGTACGGGGTACGATATGTCCTATACGTTCAGACCACCCCTTTTACTTTAAGAAAAAAAAATGTATTTGTAAAAAATTTTAGTTAAAATCTTCCATGACTAACATACGAATCGTTGTAAGGTATATTTTCATGGGAACGTTCAACCTCTGCTAGCGTACGTTGCGAAGAAGATTGCAAAACTAGATATTTGAGACCGAGCAGCAAAATCCTCGCCGACCGGATTACGTCCTACTTAAATGAGCTTCTGCGTAGTAGCTTGTAAGCGGTTCGATTCAATTATGTGTATATATACATGAGAAACCTATCCTTTTCTATTGTTAGCGGCGTTGTTTTATGTAAGAGAAACTGGGTCATCATTCAAATGTAGTGAGTTTTACGCGCTTATGTGACCTGAATACTGCGCCAGCTACCGAACACCAACGTTGCGACAAGCAGGCAGGATATTCTCCCTATTCTAAATTTCATCAGGTCATCGGGTTTTTTTTCGGCGATATGTTGGCGATTTACTACTTTCGACAATGATTTCGGTGATCTTACCGGTATTTGTCTCACGGTGCAGAGACCGTAGGGGTATCTAGCCTAATCTCTCCGTGGAACTAGCATTCGTTCGAAAGCTGCTTGGTCTCCTGGACATCTGGCACATGTAGGAGTCAAAATATTATACTAAACTCGCTTGTACGATGATGCCATATTGGGTATGATGACCTTCATTATCGTAGGATAGATTTTATTGGTTTTACTACAGTTTACAAGCTACCTGTAGGTTAAACAGTAGGCATGACGGTTTACAACGGAAAGATAAACAAGACCATATATGTTTTGATTGTACTTCCAGTTAGTAACAGAAAATGAACGATGAGAAAGCTCGGGTAGTAGATAATACCGAAGAATAATAGTTTGAAATTGTACTTGATGCTAATATTTCTGCCAATCAAACGTTTTTAGAAGGGTTGTAGTACTGCACACATGTTTATGTAGTTAAAAACTGATGATAGCAATTTTGTGTTGGATCATGTGTGTTGTGTGTGAATATGACAGACAATGATTCCATATTTGAGAATAACCTTATTTTATAACGCTGCGATACTTAGCGACACTGTTTTTTTCTCGAAAACTGTTTACTCAGATATCGTCACCCGGACGTTCAGCAGGCGTGTTGTAGTGGGCCATAGAAAATTTTAACAGGTAAGAATAGATTTTCGATCCTGAAGCTACAGAGGCCTAAACAGCTTGCCATATAAGGCCGGCATTTGGCAGAGGTTCTGTTACTAAAAATAGCTTTTATTTAAAACATTCCGGTAAAGCAACGCATGCGAGAGTGAGCCTCGAGGGCGACACCCTGCGAAAGTAAATAATAAAGTATTGAATGCTATTATGACCGACTTATTTCAAAGCGTACGAGCGTTTGCATTCAGGATTGGCGCCCCTAAAAATACCACACTTCTTCACTTAGGCCAAACGAATGAAGTAAAAAAATAAAACAAATCGATGTAATAAAAAATCAATACAGGGACGCTTGCTCCTCTTTACTCTCACATTACAATAGTGACCCGTCCTTTGGCTCAAATCGTTCGATCTGTACGATAACCGCAGACGATCATACCAATAGGTGGGGTACAGTTCAGCCGGCGTGGCATTACTTAAAAGCAAATGTCTAGTTGCAAAAGCTTGTGATGCCTCTTTTGTGATCTAATGCAGGCGTTATCCACTGCAGCTTCATGGACCCTGATTTGTCGACTACTGTTGTTGAAAGGTACTGCGAAAAATATTTGTCAACGATGTTTTTCGAAGGCAAGGGCAGAGTGTTTGGAAAAAATTAGCAGTATATTTGCAGTTCTTCATGGATGATCTTTTAAACGCCTTAATTCAATTTCAAATCGTATTGACCTTGAGATAAAGGGGTGACCATATCGGGATAATAATTTCAGTTAGATTTTGATAACATGCTGACCAACTGAAGGCATTTCAGACTATTGATTCGAAGTCAAAGATAGACACACTTCGTGATGAGAGCTAAGCGCCTAAAGCAAAGCTCAGACGAAAAGCATTGAGCAATTTACTCTACAAGGTTGAAGTGCAAAGGAGAGAAATGTTCATTGCAATAGGAAGTGCTATAGGAATAAGTCAAGTGCTACGGGGTAGCCTAATGGCTAGAACACGCTGAGGGAAAACCTAAGCCAGCATAAATATCGAAATACCCAATTAGGCCTCGTATGATTGGATTTCTGGGACAGGGGTATACGGGAGAAATGCAGCAGGGTAACCGAAAGGCTAGGACAAACTTATGAGTCGATTAAAATAAGGTTACGGAAAAAAACCTGATCGAAAAAAAGAATTAAAGGAATAGCTGCCGATATTTGAAATTAGTCAGGAGCTTATTGAAAATATAGCTCGACTTGAAAGATCCTTAAATTAAAAAATGTTAATACTCTTATACACTGCCAGATCAAGTTGTAGAACTTCCTCGGAGACGAACTCTTGGCGTACCGCCGACAGCTCATTCAATGCATAGTTCAATCCAACTCCTCTGTGCTTTACGGTTTCCTTTACCAAGCCATCCAGAGAATCAGCAACAGTGCGTGCCAAAACAGCAGGAGTGATTCGTAACCCCTTCAACGTGACAGTCTGTTGTGCATCGAATTTCTCAGACGCCAAACGTGTCTATATGCAAGCGTGCCTCGCCCAGTTAAACAAGTCAGGAAAAGGGCATTTCATTCAACAAGCCAAAGTTGGAAGCCATCCGTCGGCGCAACTGAGATCGAACGTGCGACGCCAAACGTCAAGCAGGAATCCAAAACGGATTGAACAACTATGAATTTTTGAATTTGTTACAAGGGTACAGAAAGCTATGTCCAGTCCCACTGACGTGACTACGCCGAGACGGCTACAGGAAATTATTTTCGACATATGCGTAGTTTTGCAATAACATGACTGAAAAACTGTGAGTTGATATCATATGTTTGAGCCACTCGAAACTTGGTTGTCAGCCTTAAGACTATAGTCAACTGAGGACAATGTCTCTAGGGGAGAATCGGAGCTGACTATCGCGTTCAATGCTTCAGACGTATTTATATACGTAAAGGCTTGGCTGAAAATTGTATGCACACACATTGACAGCTTGTGTACGATCTTACAACCTGTGCCATTACAGACACATATTGATGTGCGGACGATAAGTAGCTGCCAGTCAAGCATTTGGCGGCTCCTGTCTCCCATCGCTAGTATTCATCGATCTATAATCTCTGGTGTACGTAGGCACGACAGCGTAGGGTCCTTCTGTTGATTGCAACCAGTTGTCGGCAGTCGACGAATAGAGCGAGGAACTGAGTCGTCGTCATCGTTGTTGCTGGAGCTATGGCGAATAAACATTAGTCAATAGTAATAAAGAATGTTATTATGCTATTGTTATCGCTGCGATCATCGTATCCTCTAATATTAACGCCTCGATCAATGGAGACACGTGTAGACACAATCTTATATATACATGGGTGCTGGCCTATACAAATGCTCGTGCAATCTACAACGGTCCGACAATGGTGAAGAAAGATTTATGAGGGACCGCGCCGTTTCCGTAAATAAGTGCTATAGAGGTCCGAGCAACGGCTATGAAGCCGAGGTCCGACAGTCATTTTTTGTACGATACAATGGGAGAAGCAGTCGCGTTAGATACGTGTGTACGCTCTTTGTTGTGTTTCGTAGCGGTGTATAATAGAGAAAACGTCAATACGCTTCCTTCGAACAGCGCAAGCTTCCAAATGTGATACCAACTGCAATGACTGGTCGTAGTTAATCGATGAATCGTTGTGTGGGCTGGCGACAGGCAGCAGAATAGGTAAGCACACCATCATTTTCACGTTGACTGGCCTAGGGCACGGCACGCATCAGGCCATGTTGTTAAGCTCGAAGCAAGGCACTCCTCGCCAGGCTCAAGAAATAACCTCGCGTACAGCGTAGACTATGATCCATGTTATTCGGTTTGCTCTTATTGGATGCGGTTTTTCGAGGATGATCAAGACAATCCTTCTTGTGTTTCAGATCAGAAGATGAATCGTTAAGCAAGAACTTACCATTGCAATAAAATTCGAAAACACAGGACGGAAAAGCGTTTTGGTTCATGGTCGCTACCTTGCAGGGTTTACATATAAAAGTACATATGCACAATGACGATGTATTTGTGTTCGCGTATGAACGTGCACCTCGAGCACAGTCTAGCTTTTGGGTAGACTTTTTTTTTTTGTACAATTCTGCTATCGCTATAGCCGAAGGTGCTATCTCCAGTGTTATTTTTATATGTCTAGAAAGACCGCCTAATCCAAGGAACACAGGAAAAATAACAAGCGTCGGTATACTGAGCGCTGGCCAGTAATTCTGCTCTATTCGGTACATAGAACACAATATATCATATTTACCCTTGCAGCCGAACAGCCGTATACCGCAACTGTTAGCGTCTGTGAACCTACCAAATCACAGACTAACTTATATATTCCGACGTCTTCGCTATTCGCAAAGTTGCTTTGTACGTTTGGGCGCTAAATAAAATTTGAGATGAGATGACCCAAATATATGGCTATGCCTGTACCACGAATGCAAAAGAATAGAATCACAAAGCAAAGCGGTTCGTGTGCACAGAGCAGCGAGGCCTGAATAATATCCTGGGGCTAAGTGACCCACTAACTGAATGTTCACACAAAGGCTAGAAAAAAATTGACCTATCATTTCACTATTTCCTGTATGACACGCTCACGTTTGTGCAGGATTTACAATTGCGTTTGCCCGCACTTCTCCTAGTTATCGTTTGATAGCAAGAATATTGATCGATGACCGCGGCAAGGGTGTGGTGACGGCAGACTGACGAGAGTCTAGTAAGCGTCATCACAACCACCGATGTTGCCCAGCTTTAGCGTACATTAAAGAAACGTCGTACAGTTCCGTTTTCCGCGGCGGAGAGAGCGACGGCATGCCTATATCGAACTTCAACGAGATTGAAGCTGAACTACTGATGCTGGATGCTGATGGTGATATCTTCTATTACAGTGATAAAAAGAGCTCTCGCGACACCGTTTCCGGTATAGTGAGAAGTCTGCCTTTTTTCCAATTTTGACCCGTTCGAGTCGAAACGGTCTGAAACTGAGAGACATTGAGGCGGATCGAATTGACAATATAGGAAAGTCACTGATATGGAGGAGGATTGGGAGGCTTCCGAAATAGCAATATAGTTTTTCTTTTTCTTTAATGGAAAAGACATTGGGAAGCTGCCACGGTTAAGTAAGAAGATAAATGCGAGAAGGTCAAATTTTTTTTTCCTGTTCGGACAGGACAAAGAAGCGATAATAAAAGGGTCGAAAGGACCAGGGGTAAGCCGAGAACAGGCAAGCCACGTTTGATCTCACAAAGGAAGGGCTCAGATATTTGGCATATTTACTCCCTTCATATTATATCCATTCAATGGGCCCAGTAGTTTGCTCAAGAGAGCCTGAATAAAGCCGATGAAACGTTATAATGTCAGTCTTTGTCTATAACGTCCCTTAACATTTTGCTTGCTGAGAGTCAATTCTTATTTGCTGCCAAAAGATTATTTGTTTTGTTTACAGTCGTGATGCTGACGCCATATTATGTCCATGAAATATGTATATTTAAATAAACAGGATAACACTGAATGGGGTACGGACGTATTTTACCAATGTGGTGCCTGTAAATGTGAAAGTAACACTAGTCATTTTCAAGTAGCTACCGTGTGTATCGTCTATTGCAACGGGTTATAATTAAAGGGTTTTTTTTAATGTTATTATTCAAACATTAGTTTAGTGTATCGTCTATTACGTCTATTTATCCCTTTCTTTGCTAACTTATTATTTGTTGATGACTAAGCGCAATGATTGATACGTAGTTGGAGCCACAGTTAAGGACTAAATATCAGTTTGCTTGATGGCAATTTGACATGCACGTTAAGAGACCCTGCCATACAACAGACAAGATGTGAGTGCCGCTGCACTAAGCAGATGGACAAAAATGGCGATATACTGGGCAAAAACTAAGTTTGTGAGCCTTTTCGTATTGATGTACCATACTGCGGCTTGTACTCAAGTGCACGTACTGCCCGCCAAGCTTCATTATATTTAATAGCAATCGAACTTTAAAGTACATGTGAGTCCGCGTTTTCCTCTCCTTCTTCCTTTTAACTATGT